AATAGCCGGTGAATTATATGTCCTCCCGATGCGAAAGTGTAATTGAAACGTCTGTTTTTTCTTAGTCACTTGATTCCTCGTGTAGAAACTGTCCGATTCTGTGAAGTAACGTGTCAACAACAAGGTGGTTGAAACTGTGAACAAAATTCAATGCAAGTGAAACTTTGCCAATTTCATTTTGACATATTCTGTAAACGATAGTGAATGGGTTTTAGCATAGTTATTTCTGCAACGTCTTATATTCACTAGGGATTGGTTTCTTGAAACGTCGAAATACCTCGAAACCCATGAAAGTTTTGCGTCTCGAGAATTCCAAAGTGTGCACTCTTTTCGTGATTTGAAATTCTCGACAGTCTGGTAAGGAAAGATATAAAATGGATGAATAAATCCCGAATATTCCCAATGCTCGATAATCGGCTTTTGTTTTTAAACCGCTCACTGAATTTGTCAACTATAGTTGACGCCTACGTATTATTTTAGTGGCGACATTTGGAACATTTCTTGATGATCGGCAATACAAAACTTTTTTAAATGACATCCAAACATGAGTATAACGGTGTTACTGTGACTACTAGTGCCGTCATTTATCGTGAGCAAACACATTGTTCATGAAGCAAATGTTTTAAATAGTCTTAAAACGACTATTGGTTCTTTATATTATAATAAAAAATGTTTGGTACCAGATACCAACATGATGCAGTAAACGGATCAAGGATACAAAATATAAGTAGATTCGCGATCGATCGTGATCGTAGAAGTGCAAGTTAAGAGCATGTGATCCGTAATAGCTTGATACAATTTTATCAAAAATTTATTTGTCAATTACGTATTATACTATTATTTAATGGTATTAAACTATCGGGTGCTATTGCTAAGAAAAGGATAAGTAAACATATTGCTGTGTTTTTGTTTGTTTTTTCTGTTACTATGGTCAATAAAGATTTATTTTGTCGAGACTTCAGTACACTCCGTCACACAAGAGCGTGTCCGTAATTATACCTAGGTAAAGGGCGGTTGTAGGAAGAGCTGGTAGTAAAATTAATTCCTCAGAGTATCCTCTAGTGCGCTTTTAGTCAGTTGATCAGGATTGGTAATGTTCTTGTGACAAACGGACGTTTTTGAGCATAAGTGCTATTTACGGAACACGATTTCGAACAGTGTTTCTGTGTATTCGTCCAAAAGTGTCAAAAATGATTTATGCATCGGCAGCCCAAATGCGTAAGTGAAAAGACTTCATTAGAAAGTGGGTATAACGATACTCACTAGTAAGGTGAATAACGTGATTGTACAATTTTACAAAAAACGAAAACGTGAAAATCAGTATTATGACTATAAAATATCTTTTGGAAGAAAATAGTGACAAATAGCTAAGTACTGTGTAAAAACCTTTGACGTCGCAGAAGCACTAGATCTTTTATCGAAGATAAGCTTCGTGGAAAACGTGTGTTCAATTTCAAAAATCGTGGTTAAACTTTTCCCCTTAACAATTTATCTAGGAGAAAATATGTGTACATCGAATAATGACCTGCAAATAAGTATTCGTTAAAGAATAACCCAACTGTTTTATTTACAGCTACACTAAAATTTAATTGTAAACACTAAGCAAGAATACGCTGTTTATATAACAGGTGGAGGGATTAGTTCTCAAGACATCGCTAGAAGCACCGACATGTATGATGCTGAAGCTTTCATAATCTACAAACACAAAAAGTTACAATTAGTTATCCTACTGAAACATATTAACCGAAAATGATCACAACCTCGCAATTAAATGACTTCACGAATTTAATATGATAATAGTCTGTTCCGTGCTGATACTTTCATTTTAGGAGACAACAAATGTTTCGTGGAAGTCATTTTCAATGAAAATAAATGTTATCGTGGATAAAACATGAATGTCTTACGCCCGTAAAGCTTTCCAAACTAAGGACTGAAAATTTTCCGAATGTAAGCGTCAATCCTTTCTGAGATCTTAGTATTAGAAATACTACTTGTCGACAGTTACTAGGCTGCAAGTCGTACCAAAGGGACTCGTATACTGTGTCACCAATCAGTTTGCTCTAAAAGTTAAAAAATTATTTGATATTCATTATTTAATACTATTAATTATGTTTTATAACACAGTAGAATATGTTTATTATTATGTCTAATTGTGAATGTAGAAATGGTTTTCGATGCTTTCTAAAAAACGTATAAGAAAACTTTTTAAAAGAACTGTAGTCCAAAGTCCATTAGCAATACCACCAATAATTCTAATACTGTGTACTTAACATGCATTATGTAGATGCTGTGTAATTAGATGCTTTAAACATTTTAATATTAGTAAAACATTAATTCATCGGAAGTAAAAATTGTCTGATTGAAATTGGTCACTGTTTCCTTAGTTTGACAATTGAACTTAACAGTCTAACAATAATGGTTCGTAAAGTATTGGTATTACTCAAAAAAGTTCATTTCTCATAGAATATACTGTATAAAACATTCGTATAACTTCCGGAAACCTCTCCGATACCTACTACTTCAATATGGCGGATAGAGCGTCACACGAAATATTTAGGGTGTTGGTCAGCGTCGACCGTTTTGTGAGTCCAAAAACATATTATAACTACTTGCTTATCTGCCGTATTCGCCCTATTTGACACTCTATGTACTTCTCATCACCAAATTAAAATCAAAGATGAAGGAAAAACAGTCGACATAATTCCATGTATTCAAAGGTATAGAAGCTGTTTCCAGAATTCGAAAAGAACTCTAATTCGAATAATAATTAATAATATATAATGTAATTTCAATTCGTAAATTTCTTACGGTAAATAATACTAAAATTTGTCACGTGTAACAAAGTTATTGGCTCTAGAATGTGGCCCGCGAAACCACAAAATGTTGCAGTTTCCATTCATTCAAATATCAGTGACATTTCAAACGAATGGAGTCTACGGTCCAACTTTTATAAATCCGGAGTGTTGTACACGCATAACCGTCCAGTATCATCATACAGTTCATTTAATAACCTTCATATTGAGGTATTCCCCAGCGAAACAATATATGAACACTTCTAAGCAAATCACGATGTAGAACATAACCGACTTTATCAGCAGGGCAACTCCGTTTTCGGATTTTAGTGACTGCAATATGAAATTAATTTTATGTCACATACTATATACACGCATATGAGTTACAAATATTTATATACATTAAAGTAAGAAAAAATGACTAAATAGGATGTACATGGTTTTAAGGCGTGCATCTGATGGTGATAAAAAAAATACTATGAAGGACATTTTAATGGTTTTTTCAACGTCATCGTATTTTTTAGCATATTAACATGTATTTTTTATAACGCGGTATGGTAGCGTCAAGATGCGTTCAACGACCTACACGCCATGACCTTGAAGTGACCTTGAAGGCAGAGAAATCAGCTTTAGTTTGAAGAATGCAGAAGTAAATAAACGTAATAAAAAGTAAAAAACATTTTATCACCATCAGATACACGCCTTAAAAATATGTACATCCTATTTAGTCATTTTTTCTTACTTTAAATAGTAGCGGAAATAATTCAGATATTCGAGTTAAAATGAACACCCTGTATACATATACATATATATATTATAGAGCCAGAGTGTATTAAAAGTCCACTATTTAAAAAAAATGACGTTTTACATGTTTTCCGTATTCAAATTTTTTACTCTTTCGTATGGTAAAAATTATTTCATTTTTAGTCATTTAGTTCTTAATATAACATCATTTTAGTTTTTAATATAACAGTGTAAAAATGATATTAAGTCCATATCTTGTTCCTAGCCAAACAGTATAAAGTCCATCACATAGGAAACTTAATGCAATGTTCACCATTTGTACACATCGTGACTTAAGTCCATTCAATCATTCGAAGGTAGCTATATTGTTTCACGTTGTTAGTTCTTATAGTACGGTTCCAAAGTTACAAGGGTTTTGCACCTTTGATTTGCTTTCCACTGAAATTTAAAAAGAGTGACTTAATGTACTCTGGCTCTGAGGTCCAGATATATGTATTATATAAATTGATATGGTAGTACTACTTACTACTACAATAAGAAATCCTACAGTGCATGTGATTATAGTGTTCACCACTAGTTGACTGAGAGCAATGTACGTAAAGAACTTCTCAACCCTGTCTATAAACACGATAATTTCTTGATGTCTGGTTATGAAGAATTGCAGCTGCCCTTTAGTTTTGATAGATATATCTGTTAATCTCTGGCAGATTATATCGATCTGACATCCCACATGAAGTACCTAAAAATAAATATACTATCGCAAAAATTACGTTTTACGTTTATAGCATGATCAATTAACTAAAATCCAATATAGTAAACAGATTAGCCCTCGTAATACCAAACTTTTTTTTATTACGTGGATTACCAGGGGCGAGGGGGTACTTTCTCATGCCCACCAAATAAATATCTGTATACACACGTATATCTTAGACAAAAAGTTGTTTTGAAGATATCTGGTAATAGAGGGTTCAAAATAAACTATTCCATTAAGATTAAAAAATTTAGTATGGTAATACAGTAATTTCTCGATGAGTGTTCGAAGGCTCCTCGGCACTGAACATTAAATATTTAATAAATTAAGGGCCATATGCGGCGGAAATAAATATCACTGACTTGGGAATTCCATGCTCCATCATTCTGCTAAACCTCATTAAAAAGTCAGCGTTACACCTGGGGACCTTTCCTTGTCAATGCCGGGGAACCTTCGAACACTCATCGAGTATTTACTATATTGGGAACTAAAGAGTCAAGCCACTCTTCTTACACTCGGAATAATATGTTTAGTTCACTGATTTTTATGACCACGCTATATTTCTGGAATATGTCTGTACTTACCGCTATCAAAAGAAGACCAAGGAAAGCACCGAATGTTATCGACGACGCGACTTGATGAAGAAATTGCGCTGTCACCACGAGCTCGTAAGCCGGCGATTCGTTGATGTCGAAAGGCAAATCCATTTTTAGAAGAAGCTCCCGCGAATGATTCCCGTTTTGAAACGCGAAAGTGCCGACCGCGTAAAAACCCACCGAGGACACGTAGAGAATCAGAATTGTGCTCGTTACACGATAAGAAATAGCCGCCGTTCTCGATATGACATTATTCGTATCGATAACAGCGTATTTCTGGCAATCTTCTTCCATAGTCGACAAAATGTCACGAAGCACGCTGCCGAGAGTATCGTCAATTTAGGGATCGATCCTCCTCGGCAAACTGTTATATTCACTGATACTTGAAACAAGATGTGGATGAGTGTGATAATGAAACCGATTCGACACTCGCTCGATGGTTCAATGTTGTGCATCGAGTGAAAGAATGAGTATAGACCTCGTAAACATACAGTGAGAGTAAAAAGTATTCGTACACCCTTTAAAACGGAACAACTCTTTTAAAATTGGTCCAAATGACTTGAGTTTTTTTTTTGTGAAGTTAAAGACATTAATTTACTAAATGATGTGAAAAAAAAATTTGAAAAAGTTGCAATTGGTCCGAATCGCGAAGAAAATATTAAAGGTCGTGTTTTACAACTTTTTAATCTGAGGCTATAATGAAAATTTAATAAATACATATCGAAGATTTATGTTAGTTATGTACATACTGAAACTTTCATTGAAATCGGTTAATACAGAAACGAGCGACAGACATCAAAAGATGTGAGAATTGTTAGATTTACTACAGTTGTAGATCGAAAGTCGGGAAAAACTGCGATTTTCAACATTTTTAATCGTTTGTATCTCGTAGCAACGTTAACCGATTTTGATGAAATTTTCAACATGTATATAACTAACATAAATCTTCGATGTGTATTTATTAAATTTCCATTATAGCCTCAGATTAAAAAGTTGTAAAACACGACCTTTAATATTTTCTTCGCGATTCGGACCAATTGCAACTTTTTCAAATTTTTTTTTCACATCATTTAGTAAATTAATGACTCTAACTTCACAAAAAAACTCAAGTCATTTGGACCAATTTTAAAAGAGTTGTTCCGTTTCAAAGGGTGTACGAATACTTTATACACCCACAAGTAATCGTGAGATTAGATTGTCAAAAATTTCTTAGGCTTTACGTACGATTAAGGTGAAGGGAGTATTCGAATGAGTAGATGTTAGGTGCACTACTTAGTAGAGCAGGTGGTCTAAGTATGAGCTAGCAATTTTACTTCGGGACTTATTGCATAACCTGTGGATGATTTTTCAGATGTAACAATTTAATGTATCGAAAACATGTTTTCTTTATGATATGGAGTTAAAATAAGCTCCTTTTGTTCTTGAGTCATAATTTATTTCACACTATTCTGGCTAGGGTGAAGCACGTAACATGACCCTACACTTTTCAACTAGCCCATATTTAGACTCGGGCCTGTATTTGGACCAGATCCTCTACTTCGTCATTTCTTAGTAACATTATTCTAGATTAGGTTATATTGTTGCATAATAAATTTCGGTTTTAAAGTGTAATGTTGAAGCAATTGTAACATATCTTAAACAAGAAACTTTTAATTGCTCGAAAATTTGTTTGAATCGACAGATTTTTATCTACGAGTTAGAAGCTTCTTGGTGCCATTTGTTAACCTTTAGACAACGGGCAGGTTTTCTCATGAGTTTTTGTATTTTCGAGTTAGAAGTTTTACATGTATGTTATAGTGTTATATGTACATACTACGAAAAATACGCGACCTCTCTAGAACCTAAAAATAGGCTTCCCGCCCTCTACAGGTTAATGTGTATCCCTATTACTTCTGGCCCACCACAATCGTCTTATTATGAAAATAGTCGATCATTCATTGATACACCAGTTAGTCAGAAAAAAAATCAACATTATAATATAATACCGTAGAACAAACACTGTCAACTTTATCAAACAGCATTCTAGACTTATGTGGCAAAATCAGAGCATTAACACGTTCGCTATCACCATATTGCTTTGAAAACGTTCGTCTCATATCACTCTACCGTTCCATCATTCTATTGACTGGAATGTTCTTACCTATTTTTGATTAAGTATTAAAAGAACACAAATCAGAAATAGTAAATAACATAGAAAATAGATGAATATTGCAAAACATATTCTGCTTTTATTCCATAAAGTATGCTACCTCAAAAATTAAAACCTCACTATATACCTCCGGCGAAAAGTTTCGAATTACTCCACAGTATAACAAAATTGCAGGTTTTCAAAGTAAATGAACAAATTTAAACAAATCTAAATAATTGTGTCCATTAACCGACGTTAAAAATGAAATGCTTCATTAATGATTGTTAAAAGTATTACATTTAAATTAGAAAAAATCTCTCAGAAGATATATATGACTTCAATAATATTTAACAAGTGATTTCGAACTGTTGACCAAAAGCGTATGTAACGCAGTTAGTGAACGTGTTAATTAAGCCCTGGGTATTTAAAAAAAAAAATTAAACGTTCCTTGTGTAAATTCATGTCTTCCTACTTCTTCAAAAAAAGAAGTAACATCAACTTACCCACGATGTGTCCATGCAACGATCAATTTGATACACACCATAGTCAACGGCAACGCGATACTGAAACTGTCGATCAGCATTATCAGACTCTCGGTTCGAAACCGTGTGATCACGTATTTGTATTGATAAGTCTGGCATATCCCCATACAGGTCACCCATAGAACTTTATGCAAACCAGGGTACGGTGTCCCAGGCCAAATCCCAGCGAAATGGAGGCCAAACACAATTGATTGGCTGATCGTGCTAGGCGATTTCATTTCTTAAATTTACTTTTTGAAAATACACGTTTCCACACTTATATACGGAATATCATTAAACTATAACCATCGCGTCCGCCACTGTCACTCTCTCAACAATGTTCAACGACAGACTGGAAAAGTTTCTTTGAAAATGTTGTGAAAGGAGCAAAGCTTTGCAAGTACCCACTAGCCATTTATTTTGCATACGCCTGGCCCGTATGAATATTTCAACTAATTTTGAAACGATTGTGGGTTTGAAAAAAAGATGAAACAGAGAAGGTATCGTCAGGGTCGTAGTTTCAGTTTTGTTACAATGATGAATGATTCCACGTTAAAAATTCAGAGGCAGTACGGTACGCAAGCGCATGTTAAATCGTGCACGTCAGAAGTTTCGGGTAGATTCTAACTTCGAAAGTGAAAAGTGTCTAGGAATAAAAATATCTGTTTCGAAGTTCGATGAATTTTATAGTTCGCCAAAGCAAAGGAAAAAGCGTGTGTTTCGTTTCAATACTGTTTCTGGTAAAGGTTCTGTGGAAAAAACGAACACGTGATGGAGGGACGTTTAAACGCGCACGGTTAAGGACAGTTAAACGCACTTCTGAACAACTATTTACTTCTGGTACGTCTGGTGTTATTCATTCGATGGTTTCATCGTTATTAACTTCATCATTTTGAATTGTGTTGTCTGAATCTTTTTCTACACATTCAACCGTGAATGTTTTAATTACGATTCAATATGAGGTAGAGCGTGATATTTTTATAAGTTATATAAACTTTTCAAAAAATTGCGAATACATCATGCATTAATAAATTTAACAAGTATATTTTGTAATATTAATTTGAATACCAACCACCAAAAACAAATTGATAACCGATTTTTGTAATCCATTTCAATAACCATTTATAATTTCACATAATTTCGCGACAGCAATTATAATTTCAGTTACAAATCGATTTTAGGTAATTGTCGTGATTATAATGAATCAATCAAATTCAAAATACGTCATTCAGCGATAAAAATCGTATTCCTTAGAATGGGCTGCAACAGTGGAAAATATCGATAATAAAAAATAAAACAATAAAATATACTAAATGTATGGCAAGCAAAAATTGGAAAAGCAGAAGATTTTTTAATAAATTCTATCACGTCAGATGTTTATTAAATTCCATAACATGATCCTTCGTGCTTGAATATAATTTACTTTTCATTTTCCACTTCGTAAACGGAACCTTCGTAATCAGTACATCGCGTAAAGTACCGATACATATGACGCAGAAGCCTTTAAAATCTGAAAAATTGAAAATGATTTCGCCGTAAAAAACTGGAAACAAAGGACCACTACCCTTAATTAAATTATTGTACAATGCGTAGCATTAACGAGAAATCTGAGTACAATAAAACCTTCTATAGTACCCGAAAATTGGGACTGAAGCCCGGGCAGCTACGAAGTAAAGGAATCGATTCTAAATATAGAATCAACGCCGAACATAGAAAAGGGCAGCGAGTGAAAAAGAAAGAGGGACTGAGCGTCGAAGCAACGACAAAGTTTACATCCAAGCGTATCGGTGAGACAACACAATGCAAGGATGCAAATTTTTTATATTTTTGTAATTGTGAGATTTCTCTGATTAAAACAAGACTAAACACGATGTAGTTTGAATGATATTTACTTATTAATATTGATTAAGTTCTATAAATGATCAATAAATAAATATGATCCAAACTGTACTGTGTTTGAAATCATTTTAATCAGAAAAATCTCATAAATATGTTATTCAAAATTTTATTGAAAAATAATAAAAAAATTTACATAGTTGCATTAGTGTTGTCTCACCGACACGCGAGCATACAAATTTTTTCGGGCTCCCACTTGGAAAGCCGATGAAACGGGCGGACGTGTTTATATTGTATGTTTAGCTGGTTCCAAACGGGACTCTCCCAATGGGGGTGATGGAGACAGGGTGCTTACGCTTAGATATTTTGCGGGTACAGTTGAAATATTTACTGCGCCTTATAAATCCTGAGAGTATACAGTATTCCCTCTCTATAGTCACACATTGTCAAGTTAGTAAACTCCCTGATTGAACGAATAATATTTTCTCTAACCTTGATTTTTGGTAAATAACGTACAAGTCTGTAAATTTTTAAAATCATCCAATGTTTAATGATACGCAAGAAGGAACAAAACAGAAGTTGACCGATCGTCATTCAAACGATCGTAGAATCGTCTCTACTCTCTATAATCGCGTTTCCAGTTCCAAGTGGAACGACTGTAGAAAGGGAATGCTGTAATGTGTCAATAAAGAAAAATTGTTTAGACATAACAAATCGGTCCCCTTTTCAGTTCATGTGATTATTATTATCGTTTGTTAATCATTGTAGTAGATTCAGTCCTTATTAAACTGCAAACAAGATTCTTAATATAGAAAATTATTTTAGCCATATAGGCATATGGCAAATTTAGTCCGCTTTCAGTTCATGTGATTATTGTCATTGTTTTTTTAGCCATTGAAATTGATATACTCGTTATCAGTATAAATGTGCAAGGTAAATGACTTTTAAACGAATTATTTTGAAAAAACATAAACTAGTTTTTTCTCTGATTTTTGATTTCGTAAAATTATCCCGGAGAATCTGAATTTAGTAAAAAATATTATTATTATAATATTCCATTTGTACCAAAATTTGTCATGTTCGCAACAAATAGGCAGGGCACGTTTTTCAACATGTTAAAAATATTCGTATCATCATAAAAAGCAACTTACAGTTGCAAAGCCTTCTAAAGACAACTCCATGACATTCCCGGCAGTGATCGTCGATCGTTTTTGTGATCTTATCATAAAAAGGAGCATTGTACGACTCTCGTTAGGTTTCCAAAGATACCAGAGTGAATTGTACGCTGCGCTGTTAATTGACGTGCTCTAAAATCCCAAAAGATATACATAATATTTAAATCATCACTGGAATTTCTCATACAGAATGTTCGACACACGTGTCAGAAATTTTAAAGGATGATTCTACATGCCAAATTAAGACGTATATCAAGAATAACAAAATTTCATTAAAGGCTTCGTTTTCGAGTTATTACTAGCTGAAGATATGGATAGAAAACGTTTGACGCCAGGGCTGAGACTACAGTTTGCGCGTGTCATTCAGATGTCACGAGCACGAGCAGTGCCGTAGCCACCTCAAAGGACCCCCTTACCTATTTTTTTCTATTTTAAGCATTTCAAGCCTTAATGGAGGCTTACATTTGCTTTACTGTAAGATTTATTACATCACATTGATAATTTCTACGTATGTAAATTAAATTTTGTATATTACGATTTATACGTAGTGTGTGACTTAATACAGTTTTATTACATTGTGACCCATTACCTCATAACTGAAGTGACGACATATAATGGGACATGACACTTCAATAATTTAAAAAAAAATTTCCTAAAAAACTTAAGATTAATCCTTGCACGACATTAACCTCTTGAGAAATACTGACACATGATACATTTAGTTTTTGTTTCATTGAAACAAGATTTCATACAATACAATGAATATTATTGTGAATAAATATTCACAAGGAAATTCTCCAACAAAAAAAGGATATCCTACAAATTAATTGACATTATAAAAAGAAATATATTTAAAATAAGTATAGCTGAAAAGTATAAATAAATTATTTTCTTTTGGTTCTAATAAATTCGTCCCCAAAGAGGTGAATCTGTCTGCTTGTTGAAATCCTGTTTTCCATATCTAAATTCCCCTCGTTTATTTCACATGAACGACCTTTAAGTCAACCGATGGCCGGATGACCCCAACGTAGTCACCAAATACCGTGCGATGGCAGGTAGTCCGTTTAGTGTTGTGCATCCTCTTTCAAAGGTCGCACGCATCCCGAAACCCTATCATAAATCCTTCAAAGGCCGAGAAGCGCGACCTACCTGCGACTAACATGCGTTATTCTCTTTCTATTTACTATGAGATTTTCATCGTCCAAACGGTACTCAGCGAACATTTCTTCAGTTTAACGGCGATCATCATCGGGAACACATTGTCTTCGCGAACGGAAAATTCTTCATCATAGTTTTTCATTTAATTTAATAGTTTTAGATTTTACTTTACTCGTCGTAAGTTTTAATTTAAGTTAGTGGTTTTAGATTTTAGTTTACTCGTAATTTTTAATTTAATTTAATAGCTTTTGATTTTAGTTAATGCGGTTTAATTTTTCTTTTTTTATTGGCTGTGTAGTGCGTGGTGTACTGTGGGCGGTAACTTGTATATGGTATGTATACGTGTGTATATTTCAGTGATGATAGTTGTAGGCGAATTTGTGTAAAATTTACTTTGCTTGACGTAAACTCTATTTGACAATCTCAAAGAGTGGATTTTGATTTGACCTTGTGGGTTTTGGCGAGCACATAGGTTTAATGTCGTGAATCGATTGGTCTTAAGTGTTTCATAAAGTTTGTAAAAACAAGTCTTGAAGTATCGTATGGCGTCGTATTTCACCACTTCGGTTACGTGGTGAATGGGTCTTTCTAGGTAGCTACGGCACTGACGGTTATCGACCGAGCCCGTGAATCAGCTAACTCGTGTCCATTTTCAGTAAAATAACCCGTCGCGTCAAAACGTATTTCACCCATATTTCGACAATTAATAATTCGAAAACGAAGCCTTTACTGCAGTTTCCTTATTCTTAAATTTAGTTTGGATGTAGACTCTCCCCTTAAAATGTTTGGCTCGTGCTGTCGAACACATTGTATAAAATATATTATCCAAAATAGAATAATTTCTAACAAGTGAATACTAACCTTACTGCTGAGATATTCTCCGGCGAAACAAAAAATAAACGCTTCGAGTACGATAGCGATATAAAAGAATAATATTTTTATCACGTTACGCAGGTTCTGATCAGTATCAAACGACTGTAACAATAAATTGAATAACAAGAACTTTACTAAATTACAATTTTTGGTACGTCAGAAATACTAGTACTGTCATAATCGTTAGAGGTTTGTCTAAAGACCATATTAATCAACGAAAGTTAGAGGGAAATTCGAAATAACTCAGTCACACACCTTTAGAACTAGAGAAATTCCAGCCCTGTTCATTGACACCTACACTCTCACTAAAAATTTTGGAGCATTTTCAGATTTCAAAGAAAATACTGACTTTTTTAAGTAACTAAATATTTTGTTCAGGGTATTATTCTTTTATAGTATTGAAACTGTAGTTAGTATAATATTTTTAATAAAACAATTGCAAATATACGAGACAGTTTGTTATCACCAAAAAAGCAAAGGGTGTTCTATACTTCTTAGCGGGAGTGAACATCTTAAACAAAATTTACCAAAACATTCTCTGCTTTCCCCTGGACCTGCTATAAACATTTACAATTATCTTTTAATGTATTCACTTCAATTAGTGAACCTAGTGCAATACCAACCTTAGTTAAGGTCATTTATACATCCCTAAGCAAACTTCGAGACCTTGCTCAAGTGTCTACAAAGAATCCATGGCCAGACAAGCAAAATAGGGCTAGTACAAGATCAAACAATTAGAATAGTATCTTCCTTTAACTAAACAAGTAGTAATAGGCAGTATATAGTCAGACGAATCGAACAAAGAGCCTATATCAGGAGTGGGCAAGTTCTTCGATAATAAGAGCCATATACATATAATATTTATCATTAAACTGCGGATTTTTATGCAAAATAAGATTCTCTAAAGTAATCTGCGAAGATAATAGCGAAGGTATAAATTTGCTTCTTTTCTTACGTATCTTATTGGGTTCTCCCTACTGGCTATAAATGCATAAAGTCCGCAGTCTATTTATCATACATTTTTGAATGTTCATGAACCACAAAAAATATTATTTTAAAATTGTATTTATATTTTGTACTATACATTATTAATATAAAAGTTAAGGGAAAATGGAAATGAAATCCAATATTGTCTCGGGAACTGCACAGAGTAGTTTTGGGAGTCGTAGTTCGCTCACCGTTGCCCTATATTATCGGTAAGTGCAGTAGGACCGGTATGTGGTCAGACAAGTATTGTATCATACGTCTTGAGTAAGGTGAGTAATGTGAAATGACAAATGGGTCCCTTATGATCCCGTAAGTGGAAAGTTCTCGTGCGTGGTTAGACAAATGAGACAAGGATTGTACAACGTCAAACAAGTATTGTAGAATGGGATTCAACTTTTATCAGGGGAATAGGAGTCGTATAGAGCCGGACAAGTAGAATAGTATGAGGCTCCAACCGGATAAGTAGAATAGTATGGGGCTTCAACCGGATAAGTAGAATACGTCTCGTCTCTGATCTTTCGAATGAAATAAGGATTCTACGTGACTGGACAGGTGAAGTAAGGTTCATATATTGTGAAACAAGTGGACCAGAGCTAATATAGAGGAAATGTATAGGATCAGGCATATAGAATGAGATCCGTTTTTCTTCAGATGAGTAGAACATATCCTGTTCCAAATGGGATAAATCTACAAGAACCCTATATTATACAGTAAGTGATTCGTATTTGGTCAAGCAACTGGAATGGAGATCACATAGGGTCAGACAATTGGAATAGACGTCGTAGACAGAGTGTTTCCAAAATGGTTGCAGAACCCGAACACGTGTGATTCTACATGCAAAAATAAGTAAAAATTGTATAATAACATTTTTTCGTACGGTGCTTCGTTTTTAAGAAAATTGAATTTGAAAATATGTTAAATACGCGTACAGTTATCGAATAGGACTTGCCTGACTGTTTCTACTTATTGTCACTATGAATACATACCACACGCATTAGATGAATTTTATAAATTGGTTATCTTGGAAACGAAGGATTGACTTACTTTTGCATGTAGAATCACATCCTTTTGGATTGGATTTCGAAAACACCCTGTATAATCGAATAATGGGATGTCATCCTCAACCGTGTGCTCTTTTACGATAAACTCAGTTCACCAAAGATGTTTCACACTCTCATGGAGTGTTCAATTTCCCGCATCTATTCTTTTACGATTATTGAAAATCAACACTTTTGAAAAAAAAAGTTCACAATGACATTTAAAGGGATAGAAAACCATGCAAGTGTCGAAAGCAGGCCTGAACAAAGGGGACCGTTTTTAAAACTATTTGTTCGTGTCATACAACTTCTTTTAAACATTTTCTCTTCTTGACGAATAATACATGTTGATATGAAACAAAAATTTAACATTAATTTTCAATGTTACAAACAATTTTGCGGCAAGTTTTTTTACAAATATCCAACGATACAAGGGTAAAGATTTATCCCATGAAGCCGTGGCCATTAATTTTTTTACACTCTGTACACACATGTTCAAGGTTGATGAGCTACCAGATATACAACGGGATAATAAAATAAGGTCCATAATTTCTACGGTAGATAGTAGTCACTAAATGATGAAAAAAAGTTCTGATAAATATAGGCTATATAATATTTTCAAAGTTATAAACAATCTTTTGTTGCGGTTAAAGCGAGTGACAGTTTCGCTTCGGGAGCTATCATACTATATGAAAACAATGGATTACCTTATCATTTCTTCTTTTCCTAGTTGCAGAAGACTTTCTACAATTTATTTTAGCTTTTTACCATTTTCTTGATTGTTTCCATGCGGTACAATAGCTCCTGAAGCAAGAAAGTCACTCACTTTAACCAAAGCAAAAAATTGTTCATAACTTTGAAAATTTTAATTTTTTGATGCATGTTTATTAGGACTTTTTTTCATCATTCAGCGAGTACTCCCTATTCGTAGAAGTTATGGACCCTTTTTTTGTTTCAACCTGTATAGCATGTATCCGAAATAGTAATACAACCGAATAGTAAGTGGTCCTGCAAGCAAAGGTAAACCGAAAATGTTGAAAGTGATTCTTTGTACAGACCAGTATTTTCGTGAAAATCTAATTTGAATGTTTTGTAACTATGCGTAATATTGTATAGGATTTAGCTACGGTGTCTACTCATCGCTAACCGTTTCTACTTCGTATAACTATAAAGCGTAAAAAAAATGGTCAAAGTTGGTTTTCTTTAAAATCACAGTTTCCGTTCACTTTTACAAGAGAAATCTCCACAGTTTGCACCATAATTTTGAATGTATCCTATATTAAGTGGATAGAAAACGCACAGTTCCTTTAGCACCTATTCCCAAGAGGACTCGAGGGAAATGTTATACATCAAAGACGCGTATCGCGGTAGCGCACATTTCGTGCAGTGACAGATTAAACTGAAGAGAGTATTTATTAGGATTCATAGCCTGAAACTATTACGCATAAGCATTAGAACGTGTAATGAACGTGTAATACTCTGGACTGTTACTTACCACTACCATTAAGAAGCCTATACAACAAATACTAATCGTGTTGCATAATATTTGCATCAAAGCAATGTACGAAAACAGATTCTCGATGTACTTCGTGAAGTTTAAGATTTTCTGATGCCTGTTCACCAAACGTTTGACGGTGCTTTTTGGTAGACATTGTTCTTTATTCTTAGAGCAAACGGCGGCCAGAGCTTGATGCATCATTTCCACCTGTCCTCCGACGTGTAATATCTGTATACGAATAACAGAACAGAATTCGTAAATAATCTTATTAATTTATACGTAAAGTAAAATGAACGGTCAGGTGGATGCACGAATAAATGAACACGTACCAGCGAATTAACATTGTACATAAAAACGAGTAAAGTAAGTTATTAAAATAAGCAAATGATTAAATATTGATTTTTTTCAATTCCTTGTTTCATAACAATATTCAAATAATTTTCGCGCCATAGGTTAGAAATGTTCATTCATTGGTGAAATCTGTATTTTTCTTTTAAATTTAATTAATTATATTTTTAGCAATTTTGCAAATTGGAATCTATACATTAAAAAAGATATACAGTAAATCAGCGATGAGTGTTCGAAGGGCCCTCGGCATTGATTATTCAGCCGTCATCCTTACCACTGGGCGGTTGACTGATAATAATATTAATAAATATTTGGCACATTGAAATTACATTTTTTAATACTTACAGTAAATCATCGATGAATGTCCGAAGGCTCCTCGGCACTGAGTGTTCAGACGTCATCTCCACCACTGGGGAGGGGCTCCCCGTAAAAACAGTCAAGCGCCCAGTGCCGAGGAGCCTTCGAACACTCATCGGTGATTTACTGTACATATTAAAAAATGTAATTTTCATGTGCCAAATATTGATTAATATTATTATTATTTCAAATTCGACTTTAATAGTTACAAAATCTCTCAAATATTCATTCATTGAAGCGTTTACTCTACATTTATTTACCAATTTTAGCTTCTATATACTGCGTGAATTGGTACATTAATTTACCAACTTCTTCAGTTTACACATTCCGTAAATAAACCGAAATGAATATGACATTTATTTATCAATTTTGAACTTCACACCTCATAAATATACCGAAATTAATGGTACTATTGGTTCACAATTTTATAGCATTAGACGATCTACTTGAAATTTGGACACTTACTTACCAGCGTGATCATAAACGCATCTATCGTGCCAATGGCCGTAGCAACAAACATTAATTGAACGAATTGTGCAATCATGACATATTGGTACGCCGGTCTTTCGTAACTGGCCAACGGAAGTTCCATTCTCATTAACAATTGCGAGGAGTCCACGATGACATCGTCTCGACCAGCTTTACGAAAAACGTTGATGTACACGCTGCTGTACAGAAAAACCGCGATAGCGTACACGCTCAGTATCAACTGAGAGCACCAATTCGATAGCTGAGTCTTTCTTATCATGGCGTCTAGACTATGCTTTGTCACGGATGTGTTCTCCCAATCAGCAGTCATCGTGAGCAAAATATGCTTAAGTATTCTGTAAAATAACATTTATACAGGGTGTTTCCGAAATGGTGGTACAACCCAAAAGAATGTGATTCTATATGAAAAAATAAGTCGAAAATATACTACAACATTTATTTGTACAATGCTTCGTATTCAAGGTTTTCAAAATTCTTCTAAAGCTGCGTGTACACTATATAGCATAACACTTTGTATAGCAAAGTTATAAAACTTGATAAAAGAACAGAAAGAAAAATGTTATATAACATTTTTCGTGTTATATAGCAAGTTACATATTATCCATCAAGAGTGACGCCATTATTAATAATAATGAGATACGAAATGTTATACAAACTTATTATGGACTTGTTCAAAATGTATATTTTTGTAACAAATTATGAAAACATGTTGTATAGCGAAGTTGTATAACAATTTGTTATATAATACTCTTTTGTTACATAGTGTAGACGCACCTTAACGCGAATCCTGTGTACATAGGTTGTTCCATAAGTTTTGCCGTACCACCCTGTTAGAAGGAGTACAAAAATTTGCTTTATACCACATTGAATAGCACAACCCTTTTCAGGTATATGTATACCCTAAGGCCTGTAGCTAACACGTTAGTTTACTGTGAGAAATTGTAGTTGAAACGTTATGCCATAACGACTCTCAAAAGACGTGACTTGCGAATAAATATTCATTACAACTTTTCGCGTGATTCAAATAGAAAAGAATGTTTTAAAAAAATATCTGAAGCATTTGGCGAGAATTGTCCTTCCATCAGAATTCATTTCCGGCGAGAAGTTTTCGTTTTCAACGCCGAACCACGCATAGAACGCCCAGCAGACACTGCTACTCCAGAATATGTTAATGCTGTTGAGAAAGCAATTAGAATTAATAGAAACATCACGTATAGGCAATGAGAATGAATAGAAAAATCACTTATAGGCAATTAGATTCCTGAGCACTTATCAGTAAGGACGCTCTGCACATTGTAGTCCATACCCTCAATGACGATCAACTGAAAAAGTTTAAATCTGGAACTGCTAAGGAAGTATGTAATAAATAATCACTCGAAAGTTATGTTTTGCGAGAGTCATCACGGCACAACGTTTCAACTATGATTTCTCACAGTAAACTGACGCATTAGCTACAGGACTTACAAGGGAAGGCACGGAAGTATCCCCCTTCGATTTTGATGAAACTGCGTATGTCTGTTAAGCAGTCAAAAATAAAGGATACATATTTTTTTTATCGGCTGGAACGCAACTTTAAGGGGTGAAACCACCCCTCGAAGTTTCGATCCGAAAGTTTTTTGTTATAAACAAATTATATTTTGGACAATTTTTTAGCATAATATTATTCTACAAAAAAAACCGCAAACCTCGTCCATTAGAAGTTTTCATGTATCTCCTCTGGTTTTCGAGTCGAAACTTCGAGGAGTGGTTTCACCCCTTAAAGTCGCGTCCCAGCCGATAAAAAAATACGTGTCCCTTATTTTTGACTGTTTAACAAACATACGAAGTTTCATCAAAATCGGAGGGGGACACTTACGTGCCTTCCCTTGTTAGGGTATATACTTAGAAAGGGTCAGGCTATTCAATGGTGTAAAGGAAACTTTTCTATCCTTTCTACCAGGTCCGAATGACAAAAATTATGGAACAGGCTATCTATTCATAGTGACAATAAGTAGGAACAGACTGCAATGAACAGACGCGTCAGCCATGTCCTATTCGATAACTGCACGCGTATCCAGTAAATCTTCAAGTGTAATTTTCTCGAAACCGAAGCATCGTAGGAAAAAATGTTATTTTATATTTTCGACTTATTTTTTCATGTAGAATCACATATTTTTTCGGGTTGTACCACCATTTCCAAAACATTTTGTATGTTAACATGTAAGTGTGGCGAATGATGTCGAAGGCAAATAGCCTTGCGCTACTTTGCCTTTGGAGGATTTATGATAGGGACTTAGGCTGTCTGCGGTCCTGGAAGGGAAGGCATCAACGTTTCATTTGTTCGTTTATCATAATTAAATTGCGAGTGTTTATGCAAATATAAATCTTTATTGGTTAATTTACAGGAAGTTTAGTTACTATTCTATC